TAAAGTGTCGGTATTTAACAAGTGCTGTGAGTTTGTTTTTAGTGCAAAAACCCGTAAGATAGAGATCGATCGATCCCACCACGAGATCGATCGATCCCGACAATACACGACGAGATCGAAAAAATCCCGCCAGGATGGGATCGATCGATCCAGGGCTGGGATCGATCGATGTGGATGAGTACGTCGTAGAAAGAAAATGTCCACCAGGATGGGATCGATCGATCCCACCACTGGATCGATCGATCCCTGGGCAATCCAAACCGAAGCGATTTTTAACCGAATTGAACCGCTCTTCACTTGAATTGAACCGGCCCGGCGAACACAAAACCACGGGATCGAGCTTCTCTTCTCCATTCACGACCATCACTTCATCTTCTTCATTTTTGGTTTCTCAAGAACAACAAAAATCTCTAAAACCTATCTCACTCAATTTTTGGTCGTTTTTGTCGAAATTGGTGTCTATTTTACTCGGATTTTTGCCCTCTTTCCATATTTTCTGTCTGTTTTCTCGATCTGCAAAGGTATGAGCTCGAAATTCCTCTTTTAGGTTCCGTTTTTCAAAGGTGAAAAATCTCTAATTCCTTGAATTTCATGATGTTTATGGGTTATTGGATGCTAGATTCTTGTCTAGTATGGTTTTGGGAACCTTTTTAAACCTTTAATTGCTGAATTAAGGCTTAATTTGAAAACTGAAAATTTTCCCTTAGTGAAAAAAACCGACTTGTTCTTACAATTTGGAAAAAAACGAGTTTGAAGGCTTGGAACTTGATTATTCATGACGCATTGTTAGTTTGAGTAACTAAAATAAAATGGTTAAGCCTTTGATTTGTTTTTGAGTGATTTCTTGACTTCACTTTGTTTCTTTTGATAGGTATGGAACGCGCTAAAGATGCTACAGGCACTTCTCGAGCACGCATGAGGACTTCCGAGGCACCGACAAACAGTGATCCTAACAAACGTCCTGTCAGAGGCACATGGGATGGCGTGGACACAAAGATGCTAGCAGCCTTAAAGCATATCGATGTGAAGCCAACAATGGATGCTGCCAGATGTGATCTACAGGTACTTGTACAATGATGTCGCGACAATGTTTCAAACACTCAGGATGGGACGGTATTGGAAATTGGATGAAGTACCTGATTCACACCAATTCCACCAAGCCAGGAAGTGAATTGTACCAATTTCTGGGCAGAGACGGTGTCACTTATTATTGCAAGATACCCAACGAGCACATAACCTCACTTCTCTCCGTGACGAACCTAGCGTTCGAACCGGACGAGCAGTACCTTGTTCGTAACCCTTCAAGGGCAGTCACTAGACGACGCCGGACTGCAGAGGCCCAACCTACAGCTGAGCATGTTGTCGGTAACGATAACGTTTATGAGGATTATGCTGATCCGGCACCTTCCGCGCACGCTCAGCCATACTTGCTGCTACCTGAGGATCCAGCATCGTACCTTGTTTCATCAGCACCAGATGGCATGGATGATCGAATTCACAAGGAAGAACAATAGTATGATGCATAGGATGTGGAGAGCCATCTGAAAGATCAGGCCTTGTGTTTGCACTCGCAGAGGAGGAGTGGATGATGGAGACCGTGAACATCGGTCCAAGACTACTAAGGATCGACACGCTGAGAGGTTGGTCCCTACTGTTGGAGCTTCCACCTCGCAGCCACCACCAGAGCACTCCCCAGGCCGTTGTTTAGGCAGGAGCAGGAGGCAGCCAGGAGAGCAGAGCTCTAGCGAGAGCCCTACCCACCAACGTTGAGTACCGCTGTAACTCACACTCTTCCCTTGTTACACATCTTTATTTTGATTTTTATTGTGTTTGTGCAGCAACTTTCCTTTGAACTGTTTTCACACCGAGTTTGTGTGAAGCAAGTCGGGGGGAGGTTGGCACTTGTATACTAATCTAGTTTGCTATTTTGTTTTGTTTTGCCTTTTCTTGAGTCAGTTTGTTTTATCGAGTCAAAACCGTGTCTTTTATTGAGTCAAAATGCTGTTTGAGAACTGTGATCTTTTTGGAGAGAATTGCACCATGCTTGATTTGATTGCCTTGGGACCATTTTAGCACTATTCGATAACTTGGAATGTCAGGAAAATCCATCACTAGATCGCTTAATAATAATCTCTATCTCTTTGAAATTTGGATGAATTGAGCTTTCTCTTATATATTTGAACTTAATCTGAACTTAATCTATCTCACTTAGGGGCTTGAGAATCATGTAATGGATCATACATTCAGAGTTTTCTTTGCATCATTTTAATCACTCTTTGCCAACTCTGAATGGCTAGACTCATTTTTAGTCTAGTACCACAGCTGTTCCCACACCCATTGTTTGAAACCTCATGCATTCTTATATGATCATTATGATATGCATCCATGTGCGAAAACTACGGAGTATACAGACCGATATAGCTTTCCTTCTGTTAGGATAATGAGTTGTAGTTTGCTGGTTGTTCATATGTGATGATATTTAGCCATTATGGTTTTGAGGTTGTACATTTGTTATATTCATGGGTATGTGATGTTACATTGGTTGAGTTTTCCTAATGCAGATTTTTGTGAGACACCGGTCCACTCCCCCGCTCTAAAAAAACAAGAGAATAAAAAAAAAAAAAAAAAAACGAAAAAAAGAGAAAGAGCGGGAAAGGAGATCAAGGAACCAGATATGTTGAGTTATTATTGGTTATATTGTTAAGCATCATAGGAACTCATTGATTTGATTGGGATAGTATGTGTTGGTTGGTTTGATCCGAACTTAAGGGAAGCTATGTACCACCTAATTGGTCTGTGTCTCACTGTGATTTCGCTAATGACATACATCCGTTTATATTGTTTGAGAATCCGAAACACTTTGAACCACCATATATTAGCCTTTTTGACCAAGCCCATAACGTGTTCGATACCCCCTTGGTGAGAGTATACGCCTCTGCTAATGAATGTTAAAAGATTAAGTTCTATGACTCTGAAAGTTCTTTTAGATCTTGGGATTTAATTTTGTCGCTACGGTTATGGCGAAGTACAGTCTAGTACGGGTTGATGAGTTTTGTGATGGTGGTTTGCAGGCAATTGATAAGAGCATGACCTCGAAGAAAATGTGAATTCTCGTGTTTTCAAACCTCTTCTCTTGAGAAATATTTTTGTTTTTCCTTGAGGACAAGCAAAGATCCAAGTCGGGGGAAGTTGATATGTTGCGTTTTTGGTATCTTAGGTCCTTTAGTTTTGAGTCGTTTGTCGTGTCATAGTCCATCTTTTGTGTCTTTTCGGTTGTGTCATGAGTCATTTGCAGGTTTTAGGAGTTTAAGCGGGACGCGGATGCTTTCGGGACTTATCAGGCTCATTTGGACCAGAAACAACAATGGGAATGGAGAAACTAGAGTCTACAACATTGGATCGATCGGTCTCATCACTAGAACGATCGATCCAGTGTTCATCATCAAAAACTATCTGCCAAATCATCTGCCAGGACGGGATCGATCGATCCCATCAACGGATCAATCGATCCGGACGTCATCTGCCAAACAAGATTCAGTCCCGCCAGCTCGGGATCGATCGATCCCAAGGGAGGATCGATCGATCCAAACTTCTCGACGACCAAACCGATTTTCCTTAACCGGGTTTATCTTTTTTTTATTGTATTTGGGTATAAAAACCCGAGGAACCTACGTTTTCTTTTACGCTTCTTTTTTCTACAACATTTCTAAGAACCTTTCTGTAAGCACCTTCGGGATTAGAGATTCATTCCTTCTTGACAATTTGGAGAAGATTTCTAAACCCTATTCTCATTTATTCAATTTCAATAATGTTTTCCTTAATATCTCTTTGTTTCATTTTTATTGCAATGTGTGAGTAATCCACCAATTAGGTGTTAGGGTTCTAATTAGGAGTTTCAATAGAATAATGGAATAATTGGGAATGGGAACTCTTATTCTCTAGGTTCTTTGATTCACATGTTCTTAATGCTAGAATAGGATTGATCACCCTGTTTTAGAACTTAGGTTTTTCTATGCATCACAAGTGTTCGATAGAATGCCTGGAAGAATGTGAATTGAGCAATGTATTTCTAGCCAACCAAAGTTGAAGTTAGGACGCATTGTGAACTAAAAGAACTTGTTTGATAATGCGAATTTGACTAGGAAATTACATGCAAAAGTTTAGTAATCGAGTAGTCAAATTTAGTGATTAATGTCTTGAAAGGGAATTAGTCTAAGTTGTGTTCATGTTCAAGAACGGCTCATAATTGTTGAATTCTCTGTCTCATGTTTCCATTGTTTATTGTTCTCTGAAATATCCTAATGCCTAATGTCTTTAAATCTTGAAAGTTAAATCGTTTAATTTATTTGCATTATTACTTTACAATCTGAAAACTCTAACAAAACAATCTTTCCGCTTTAGCTAAGAACGAGTCTCGGAAATATTTAGAGTATCTTTGGTCCTTGTGAATCGACCTCGAATATTCTACTTCGGTTAGATATTTCGGGTAATTACTCGAACAATCAAGTTGGTGCCGTTGCCGGGGACCAATTACGTTACCTAAGGATTTAGGATTAGTTTCTAGTCTAAAGCATTTTTTTTATTTACTGTTATTGATATTCATTTTCGTATTTTCTCTGGTGTTTTCAGGTGTATGAACCGTAGCAAAGGCTCATCACATCTAGTAAACTACCACGAGGATATCGGAAGGTTTGAAAGAGAGAACAAGAAAAGGAAGCAGTTAGCGGTTCAGAGAGAAGCTGAGATGGCTAATGTTGTTGATGATGATGGACTCAAATTTGAAGGAGAACATCATGGAGTGTTTCAGGATCCACCACCTCCTGATGGAAATCTTCCTGCTAATGGTGGAAACGCTCCCAATGCAGCTGCTGCCAACGCTGCCTGTGCAGCTGCTCGTGCAGCTGCGTTGAATGCTAGGCCTGCACCTGATTTTTGGGGCAGTATTTCACGCAGTCCAGGACAGCTCTCCTGAGGAATAAGATCAGCAGCTTCCAAAAAGGAGGCACAAAATCATTCCATGAATCTTGGGAGAGGTTTAAGGACTACTACAGGGACTGTCCTCATCATGGTTTTCCACGGGCTACGTTGATCAACACTTTCTATCGGGGAGTTGACAAGGCCTACAAGATGGCATTAGACACTGCTAGCAATGGGGACTTCATGACCAAGACTGAGACTGAAGCTACAGAGCTAATTGAGAATCTGGCAGTTAGCAACAGCAAACACAATGTTGACTATGACAGGTCCAATAGAGGTGGAGGAGGAGAATCGAAACAGCTTGCTGAATTGTCAGCTAAGGTTGAGCAGCTACTCAGGAGAGATCAGAGGGTTGTTAATTTCTGTGATGATATTGGAGAAGCTCAGGTGTACCAGGAGTTTAGTGGGAATGGTTCGGAAGATAATCAGGCTGAATATTCTACTTCGGTTAAATATTTCGGGTAATTACTCGAGCAATCACAATTGAGTGTAGGTTTGGATCATAAAAGAGCATGACTAAAGTTTTTAAGTAGAAGTCGATCACCTCGCATCTTAGAACTGTTAGCTATACATTGATCTTAATTGTGATATCTCATGCTTTGGTTATGAGTCCCCAACTTCAAACCACTCCTTCTGCTTATGTCTTCTTGTTTGCTTGAGGGCAAGCAAAGACTAAGTTTTTGGGGAGTTGATATGTCTATAATTTGCATGATTTAGGCATTCATTCTTCACCACTTTGTCATTGTTTCATCAACATTTCATCTCATTAGGAGTTGTTTAAGTGCGGTTTTGCATTAGGATTGCATGTGCATTGCATATTTGGTTGTTTTCAGGTACTTTGGATGCTTTTAGAGTTCAAACAGAGGAGAAACAGAACAGAAAGTCAGAATGCTCAATGACGCCTTCAGCCAAAGTACTCTATCGCAGCCTTGGAGTCCTGCCAGGGCAAATCACTCTATCGCAACCCCGGAAAAGCTAGCAGCTTAGGTTTACTCCATCATGAAGCCGGAGGAATCACACATCTTACACCACTTGATCACCACTCGACCACCAGGAGGCCTATCTGCTCATTCTGCACTCAACCAGACAAGCTGAGAACAAAGAAGAAAAGAGAAGTCGAAGCAACCACTCGATCACCACCTCATGACATCCACTCGATCGCAGGTTCGCTGGACCATTCAATCTCGTCTTCACTTCAGACCACTCGATCGCAAGGCAGAGTTCCTGAAGCCCAGTTTGATCAATGACACACTCGATCACAGGGAAGCCCATTTCAGCCCATCAGATGCCAATGACATACTCGATCGCAGGGTCCTGACGTGAAGATTCGCTATCTATCTAGTTTCCTTATTTGATTTATATTTCCGCTTATATAAATTGCCTCTAAGGGTTTTCCCTAGGGCATCCATTATCCGTTTTTCATCCAACTTTTATCTTTCGCAACTTTTGTAGCCGCAATATTTCTCCTGTGACTTTGTATTTCACTTTCAAGTATTTTATATTCAATTTTCGTTTAAGTCTTTCATCATTTCTATTATCATGTTTTCAATCGTTGATTTGCTATTGTCTTTGATTATGTCTGGGTAGTGAACCGTATTTCTGAAGATGGGATAGAGTAGTTGTGGTTTTCTTGGTCGTTTTACGTGGTTGAGTTTAGAATACTAGAATCCCTTCTAGATTAGTTGTGCTTATTTCTTATTTCACTAGCTAATGTGGAATATGAATCCAGACTTTCCCGCTCAAAAGGTCTTTGATGGAATGTCAGATCTATTAATTCCTGAGATATTTGCATCTACCCCAAGGTATTGGCTGTGTAGAGAGGGTATTGGCTTTAACATGTTGATTCGATATTACCTGCTTTGTTAGAGATCGCTAATGGTGATTAGGTCAGTGTCTAGCTCTGCTTGAGGATTCCTGTCACGGTAGTGAAGTAATCTGTTGTTGAACTTGTTGTCACCAGCCTGATTTGATATAGAGATAGCTTCGGTGAAGTTTTGTCACCAGCCTGATTAGATTAAGGAGACCACACAATTCAATTACCCCATCCTTAGGTATCGTTTATCCATTTGACTGTCTGTTATCATTTCTATTTTGTTACTCATCTGCCTGTTATTGCCATTTCTGCTTTTAGTTTCATTTCATTTATGTTACTGCATACTAGGACTGTTAGAACCAACCAACTTTCTACTTGGCTTGACTTACAGCTTTCTGATCATATCTCATTTGTTTGCATCACACCCAATTGGATTGACAACCTAAAATACTACAACGACAGGATAGTGTTTTAGGATTAATTGAGTAAAATCCTACTATCACTTTGTTAGTGTTTCTATGGTCAAAATGTGTCATAATCCAATGCATTTGACTAATCATAAGAGTTAGAGATGGAGTAGGGGTGTTTAGACAACATTTATACCCATTTTGTCCCAAAAGAGGAGAAAACCAACAAAAAATTGCTTAGAAGCAGTAAATAGCTTTCTTAGTATTTTTATGGTCAAAATTTATCACAATCGAAAGCATTTGACTAATTATATGAGTTAGAGATGGATTTGGAGTGATTAGACAACACTTATACCCATTTTCTTCCAAAAGAGGCTAAAACCAACAAAACATTGCTTAGAAGCAGTAAATAGCTTTGTTAGTATTTCAAAGGTCAAAATATGTCACAATCCAATGCATTTGACTAATCATAAGAGTTAGGGATGAAGTAAGAGTGTTTAGACAACATTTATACTAATTTTCTCCTAAAATAGGCTAAACCCAACAAAAAACTGCTTAGAAGCAATCAATAGCTTTGTTAGTGTTTCTATGGTCAAAATGTCTCATAATCCAATGCATTTAACCAATCATAGGATTGGAGATGGATTAGGAGTGTTTAGACAACTCTTATACACATTTTGTCCCAAAAGTGGATAAAACCAACAAAACATTGCTTAGAAGCATTAAATAGCTTTCTTAGTGTTTTTATGGTCAAAATTTGTCTTAATCCAAAGAATTTGACTAATTATATAAGTTAGAGATGGATTAGGAGTGTTTCGACAACACTTATACCTCTTTTCTTCCAAAAGAGGCTATAACCAACTAAAAATTGCTTAGAAGCAGTAAATAGCTTTGTTCGTGTTTCTATGGTCAAAATGTGCAGAATCCAATGCATTGGACTAATCATAAGAGTTAGAGATGGAGTGGCAGTGTTTAGATAACATTTATACCCATTTTCTTCTAAAAGATGTTAAAACCAACAAAAAACTGCTTAGAAGCAGTCAATAGCTTTTTAGTGTCTCTATGGTCAAAATGTGTCATAATCCAATGTATTTGACTAATCATCAGAGTTAGACATGGAGTAGGATTTTTTAGACAACACTTATACCCTTTTTGTCCCAAAAGAGGGTAAAACCAACAAAAAACTGCTTAGAAGCAGTAAATAGTTTTCTTAGTGTTTCTATGGTCAAAATTTGTCACAATCCAAAGCATTTGACTAATTATATGAGTTAGAGATGGATTAGGAGTGTTTAGACAACACTTATACGCATTTTCTTCCAAACGAAATTAAAACCAACAAAAAATTGCTTAGAAGCATTAAATAGCTTTATTAGTGGTTTTATGGTCAAACTATGTCACAATCAAATGCATTTGACTAATCATAAGAGTTAGAGATGGAGTAGTAGTGTTTTGACAACATTTACACCCATTTTCTCCCAAAAGACGCTAAAACCAACAAAAAATTGTTTAGAAGCAGTAAACAGCTTTCATAGTGTTTTTATGGTCAAAATGTGTCACAATCTAATGCATTTGACTAATCAAAAGATTTAGAGATGGAGTAACAGTGTTTAGACAACATCTATACCCATTTTCCCCTAAAACAGGCTAAAACAAACAAAAAATTGCTTAGAAGCAGTACACAGCTTTGTTAGTATTTCTATGGTCAAAATGTGTCACAATCCAACGCATTTGACTAATCATAAGATTTAGGGATGGAGTAGGAGTGTTTAGACAACATTTATACCCATTTTCTCCCAAAAGAGGCTAAAACCAACAAAAAATTGCTTAGAAGTAGTAAATAGCTTTGTTAGTGTTTCTATGGTCAAAATGTGTCACAATCCAATGCATTTGACTAGTCATAAGAGTTAAAGATAGAGTAGAAGTGTTTAGACAACACTTATACCCATTTTCTCCCAAAAGCGGCTAAAATCAAGAAAAAATTGCTTAGAAGTAGTAAATAGCTATGTTAGCGTTTCTATGGTCAAAATGTGTCACAATCCAATGTATTTGACTAATTATAAGAGTTAAAGATGGATTAAGATTAATTAGACAACACTTATACCTATTTTGTCCGAAAAGAGGATAAAACTAACAAAAAACTGCTTAGAAGCAGTAAACAGCTTTGTTAGTGTTTCTATGGTCAAAATGTGTCACAATCCAATGCATTTGACTAATCAAAAGTGTTAGGGATGGAGTAGGAGTGTTTAGACAACACTTACACCCATTTTGTCCTAAAAGACGCTAAAACCAACATAAAATTGCTTAGAAGCAGTCAATAGCTTTGTTAGTGTTTCTATGTCAAAATATGTCAAAATCCAATGTATTTGACTAAAGATAAGAGTTGAAGATGGATTAGGAGTGTGTAGACAACACGTATACCCATATTGTCCAAAAAGAGGATAAAACCGATAAAAAACTGCTTAGAAGCAGTAAACAGCTTTGTTAGTGTTTCTAAGGTCAAAATGTGTCATAATCAAATGCATTTGACTAATCATCAGAGTTAGGGATGGAGTAGGAGTGTTAAGACAACATTTATACCCATTCTCTCCCAAAAGAGGCTAAAACCAACAAAAAAATGCTTTGAAGCAGTCAGTAGCTTTGTTAGTGTTTCTATGGACAAAATGTGTCATAATCCAATGTATTTGACTAATCATAGGAGTTCGAGATGGATTAGGAGTGTTTAGACAACACTTATACCCAATTTGTCCCAAAAGAGGATAAAACCAACAAAAAATTGCTTAGAAGCAAGAAATAGCTTTCTTAGTGTTTCTATGGTCAAAATTTGTCACAATCCGCATTTGACTAATTATATGAGTTAGAGATGGTTTAGGAGTGT